TTTAGGGGATCAGTTTAGGGTTTTTTTTTTTGTTTTGTTTTTTTCTTGCTCCTCTCCCATTATCCTCTTCAAACCTACTCTCCTCTAAACCCTTTACCATCAGTACACGACACTGCTCACGCTCTTGGAAGCCCCAAAAAAAGTAAAAAACAATGTAGAGTTGTCAGGAGGTGATATAGCAACCGGCGGACACTGGGAGAGGTTTAGGAATATGATAACATGAGTACCAAATCTAATCTCTTTTTACAGAACTTTATCGAAGTCTTATTGATGGCCAAAGGTTTGCAACATATTAAGGCGGGTGACAGATGGGAATTTATTATTATTGTGCAAATTCAAGTGGTGAAATTAAATCACTGACGTATGGTGTTCACTTCAGGTAACTGCCTGGGTCTGCATACTCTGGGAAAAAGCCTATGTTTGTCTTTTGGTGGCAAAAAGAGACCATTTGCATTTATGACTTCAATATTGAGCTGGACAGTATAACCATCAATACAGTACTTGATACAGTACTTGATGTCTATGAGTCACATCATCCTTTGGTTAAAAACGTCTCCCAGAGAGAAGAGGGGAGCCCCTTGATGTTTGAGCTTCTTAGATATTGTTGAGAGTAGCATCGGAGTAGGAGAGCCGCTGTGACGACTACAACGACACATAACCATGAGGTACAGGGTGCACAAGTGGGAGCAATATGAAGCAGAGGCCACAGGTGCTTTCTTTATGCTGAACTCATTAATGGCAAATTCTTTGATGCTGTCCACTAGCACGGAGAACAACACATGCTACTTTTAAGTTGATGCTTGTAATTGGAGTTGATTTACAAAACATGATTACAAAATGCTACAGGATTTCATTATTGGTCGAACTAATTATCTCTGCATACTGTCAATCACTAGAAAATGGAAGTAACAGACTTTGTTTATTTTGTTTGAGCTGATATGTTTATAGCAGAAGAAATGCAGTAATTAGTATTCATGCAATTGCTCATGTGTATGCACAAACATAAAGCTTGCATGATTTGTCGTATTCGTACAACCTCTTTTGTTCTCTCAGAGCGAAATTCCATTAAAATGTTCATCACGTTAAATGAAGTCAATGCAAATGCGTTTCCCAATTAGTCTTATCTTGCCAGTCTGACACTTACAAAAAGCTAATCTTACTGTATTTGTGTGTATATGTGTGTGCGTACAATCCCCTTTTTTTTCTTCTGTGAGGTCTTCAGAGGCCTACTTTAGGTTAAGAACTTGGATTTAGGGGCTGATGATGGATTAAAGTTCAGGTATAAAGGTTGAGGTAAGGCATGTTGAGCTGATGCTTAAAGCTGCTTATCAGTGGTTTTGCATGTTTTAGCCTATTAAGTACAAATGATGTATGTGTTACATTACAGCCAAAGCGTAGCAGTATTCCAGAGCGTGACACAGACTGTGAGGGATTTGTTGACTCACACACAGCCATCAGATTCAGCTCATACCAGTACAGTATAAAGATCTACTTGCATAGACTCTACCTTGAGGCCAATCTGTAGAATTCTACATTTACAGGTAACTCTGTGGTGAACAGACAGTGTCCACTGAGGGACAGTTTTGTGTTGCATTTAAAGTTTTATTGAAGCTCAAAAATCTCAAATGTTATGTGCACTTTGACATTCTAAAAAAGCAACACTGAAAAGATTTGAAAACATATTTGAGCCTTTAATTGCATCACAAAACTAGAATGTCGCACAGGGTTAAAAAACTGAAAATGAATCAGGTTATTCTCAAGCATGTTTCATGTCTTGGAAAAAAATCATGCGGTGCTAATGTAAATAGAAACAGTGGCTGCTCATGTTGTAAAGGGGATAAAACATGCCAACTTATTGCAGTATATTGACAATTTTCTCATAATGACAGAAAAAACAAGGATGCCTGGTCATCTTTTTGTTCCGGGGGGTCTTTTTGCACATGGTCACAAGCATTGCATGTCTATGCTTGTCTGCATTTATTATTCTATACGTGCCAAACACTGTTCAATTCATAAGGATGTCACAGTGCGGGATATTCAGTAGACATCTCGTCTTTTCCATCTCAGCTCTGTTCTGACAGATCATCCCTTGTGTCCACTCTATGGCTGAGTGGTCGGAAGATAAAAAAGGAGTTTGTGCGAGCGAGACAGAGATTGAATGACGTGTGCTTGCATAAGTGTAACTGTGAGCCCAAGCACACTCTCACACACTCATGTAAATGTCCTTAAAACCAGTGGTTCCAAAAAAATGTTTTTCCTGTATCTAAGTGAAGCTGAGCAGACCCACAACCCATACAAAGAAAAGGGATGCATTGCTATCAAAAATAAACACACATTTTAATTATTTTCTAGAATCAAATTCACAAAGAATATGCCTACACACATGTGGTCTTACTAAAAAAAAAATTGTATAAACCATCAAGTACTTATGTTTTCATGATTTTAGTTAATATGTGGGTGGCTGTGGCTCAGTTGGTTGAGTCGTCACCCCACAACCGAAAGGTCGATCCCCAGCTGAGCAACATCCCTGGGCAAGACACTTAACCCTGCATTGCTCCCGCTGCTTCGTTGTATGAATGGCTTAGTGTTGAACTTACTGATGTACGTCACTTTGGATACAAACATCTGCTAAGTGAATTGTAAAAATATGTCCAAATCTAATTTTGACAACCTCACAGCAGACAAAGCCTCCCCTCCTGAGAGCTTAAGTGCTCCTGGGGTTCCAGACACCAGGTTGGGAACCAATGCCATAATCCATAAGAATTACACAGAAGCAGAAAATCACTAACAGCACTCTGACTGTTCAAACAAAGATATGAGGACTATGTTGTGTCCCCTGCAGGTGAATACACACCAGAACTAGTGTTGAACATGTTTGTAGATGGTATGGACATGACTCTCCCATGTACAGTAGATGATCAATGATTGACCTGCACAAACTCAAAAGTGCACAGATAAAAGGATCGCTGGATAGAGACAAGTGTGAATTAAAAGAGCATCATAACATCTTTTGTAACCAGCCACAGCTAGCCACAATGCAAACCGAACCGGTGTGAGCAAAGACATTCGCCTTCGACGTGTTTGTGAATGGCTGATCTGTCAGTGTAAACACTTTGCCTGATGCATCAGCCAAGCTCCCTGCAATGTGTTATTTTAGGTGCAAAAAAAATTCAAATTCACCAGAGAACTTCTGCAGTCTTCCTGCCAACGCTGACACATCCCTGCCTCACTATTGTAGACTCAGACATGCTGGCATATACTGAGCGCTTTTGGCAGACTGGCGAAATCTGTACTTTGAAGTCGTTTGTCTTGAATTAAGTGATTTTCTGTCGGGGCAATGTGCAAGCAGCAGGACAGCTGATTCACATACAAAAAAACCTTGGACCGAGCCGGGATTGTGCATGTGTTTGGAGTACAAAAATCCCTTGACATGCCAATCACCTCTGGTTTCAGCTCCCCATTCAAAGCTCAGGGTAAATGAAAAATGAATGTGTGCCGTGGGAAATCATCTCTTTAAGGATCTCCTGATGATGATGATGTAATAGCATTTACCAGCATGGCCATTAGTTTGACACAATACAGACACAGACATGCTTCCTTGTACATTACTCTATAAAAAAGCCTCTTCTGGAATGCGTAGTGACTCATTTTGGTTTTCCCTAAAACAAATCCAGACGTTACATTTCTCATAAATGATAAGGAGATCGGTTCTGAGAAGCCGTCAGGAAGGAGGCTGAGACAATAGGCCTTCCCTCCAAGCTGTTATATGGCGCTATAAGCACTCATCACCATGGTGCGTTTCATCTCGACTCTTGGAACAGCAATAATCGATCTGATGGCAGCAAGAAAAACATGTTGTTTTTCTCTGGCCCTGAGGCACGCAGCTGAAACACACACACTCTAAACAGATGATTTCACAAGACACACTAAATAAATACCAATAAAACACAAGCTGTGCGTGCTGTATGGTGAGTGACCACCACCCAGTATTTGAGTGATTTTATAGGTTATTCAAAGGTTAAGGTACTTGTGATTTGTATAGACAACGTGAAAAAGCACAAGTAAAGAGCAGGCGAGTTTTAGTGATGATTAAGTGATGTGCAAAGCTTGGGCTAATGCAGTGGTTTTCTAAAGTGGGATCTAGGGACCTGCAGGGGTCCGTGACGGTGCTCCAAGGGCCACAGCAAAACAAGGAACAGTTTAATTTCTCTATTGTCTCACTCTCTTGATAACAGCACAAAGGGAGCATGTATTACTGTAATCTTTCCTCATTAGAGGCTTCACCCTCTATACTGTTGTCACACGTAGTCAGTTATGAAGCTGTATGGCCAATTAAAGCCTTGAAAGAAAGAAGCAGCTCCTTGGGACAAAAGATCAGCGAATAAAAGTCTGTGGTTCAATGTGTTTCTATCTGGAGGATCTTGATATTAAAACTTTGAGAAGCCCCTTCGCTTTTATAAGAGGTTCTAAAGGTCCTGGCTGTTCATATAGTGTGTAGCCAGCGGGAGATAACCTTGTGAACCGCGGTTTGATCCATCACATCTAGATGTAGTGACACACAGCAAATAATAATGCTCCGGGAGAGTGCAATGCTGGGAGAGATAGCCTCTTGACCCGGGTACAACTCATAAACTGCAGTGCGGCATCAGCTGTATTAATATCACATACAGCCTCGTCGTCCACACTTTTCCTTCCACGGATGAACATTTCAGTCCGTGCGTGTGGTTCAAATTAAAGATGCGCTCCAAATGGCGCATAGCCTGTAACAAAAAAAAAAAAAAAAGCACACATCTGCGGGGCAACGTGGTGCATTATGAAATTAGTCATAATTAAGCACCTATTTCATAACCGTAAAAAAGTAGGCTATACCTGCGCAAGATTCATGCACATCACAGGGACGCAGAATCCGCCTTAAAGGAAGCACTACACTATGCTAATGGAAGAGGCGAACTGGCAACATCGTTTGATTAATTCGGGTTATTTAGTTGTGTTTCACTCACCCCTTCTGAACATTTTGCAGGCCTAGGTGTATTTCGTCTTCGGTCCTCGGAGAATCATCTATTCTTATATTCCAGACTGAAAACTTGTGCGCTTTAGTTTTGAAGTTGATCCGGAGCTTCGGTGGCTCGCAGCGTGAACGTCAGCTGTCCCTTCCTCTGGATTTTCTCGAGATCCACCTTATCGAGTTGCACCGCAGGCCGCCGTGGGTTTGATGAACATTAACAAGAAACAATAATCTCCTCAAAGTCTGGCAGGAATCAGACGCACCTGCGAATCAGGAGGGCACACATAGCGAAACAGACGCGCTGAAATCATCCACTCTGTCCGAAATGATGGTAACTCCAGTACGCGTGTGCACATGAAGTCCACCGCCACTTCTGATAACCAACTCCTTTAGGGCGCAAATGACTGTTGAAACTGCAAATTAGTTCTAGGGGCAAATCGACGGTGAGCGCGAGCACTCCCCAAAAAGCACAAAAAAATTCAAGTGGCCAATCTCAGATTCTCCTCTCGGTGATTCAGAGCCGTCCAAATCGCATCATACTCGTTAAAATCTCTAATTAACACAAGTTATTTGGATTCACATTCCGCCTCTGATGTCGGATTATAAACGCAGGCTCCTCAAATCCTCCTTAATAATGTAGACTTTGAAGCCTTCGGTTTCCTTTAAACCCTCTCTTTTTCTGCTCTCCTCGCTCCTCTCGTAATTGTTACATTTCTGTGATCTTGTCTATGAAGATCTCTTAGCTTTTTCCCCCCTACCTATGATTAGAGCTCGTTGATGCGCTCAAGGAAGGAGAAAGTATGTTGTAGTGCCTCAGCCCCTCCAACGGGCAGCATCCAGCTCCATCCCTCTCTCTGCCTCTGTCTGCGCCGGCTGGCACGCACGCACGCACGCACAAGCACGCACACACACACACACACACACACACACACACACACACGGACACACACTGCTCCCTGACATCCAGAGGTCTTCATAAGGAACACAACATGACACCAAGGGACAAAAGGGACATGCAAAGAACAGAGTATGAAGCGGAACAGAAAATAACAGGATGTTTTTTGATGCTGCTCATTCTGCAGTGGAATACTTTTCTGATCAAATAGCCTTCACCCAAATCAATATATGTCATAAATAATAGATAATGCATCAGATAAACGGGGTAACTCCCCCCCCCAACCTCTCTCTCTTACTCTCTTTCCCTCTCTCTCTCTCACTTTCTCTCTCACCGTGTGTGTGTGTGTGTGTGTGTGTGTGTGTGTGTGTGTGTGTGTGTGTGTGTGTGTGTGTGTGTGTGTGTGTGTGTGTCTCTATCTTTCTATTACTCATTCTATTGCAGTGCACAGCCAAAAAATAAAATAAATAAATAAATCTAGTCCACTTCGTAGTTGTTCAATTGAATCAAATTTCAATTGGCTTTATTTCCATTCTTTATTTTAATCTTAAAAAATGTTATACCCCTTTGATGACCCTTTTCTTAAATCACGTTTTTATTATACTGAGATTTTTTGTAAAAAGAAATACCTCAACAAATTGAGGTATTTCAATTTTTTGAAATATTCTGTCATAACTACATGACAGAATATTATTCTGTCATAACTACATTATTTATAAATACCATCTTCATGTAGGCTATTTAAAATGTAGGCCTATGTGTGTCTTTGAAAACAATTGCCCAGGGAATAGCCTATTTTGGGGCATAGTGTCTTTGTTTGTTTCGTTTAATTTAATTTGATATTTGTATTTATTTGTGTTTTTTTTTCAGTAGGCTCATTTTGTGCTGCAATAATTGTTTGTATGTATGCTGTATATTATGTCCTATTGTCTATGTAATTCTGACCTGTGTGGATTATAACATGTAACTCATATTTTCTTCCGTAATCCATTTTATCTTAAACCAAATAATTTCCCCTGTGGATAAAAGGATGTGCTCTAATCAATAGATGTAGGCCTATACCATGTGTGAACTATTTTATTGTATTGGTGAGGCGCTGTCTCTCTGTCCCGTTAAGTAACATCCGTTTCATCGGGGCTCGATTACTCTCCCCCGAACTCTCCACTCGATTGCTTTCGCCTTTCCCTTCCTCACATGTGTGTTGTTTTGGAAGGAAAAAAAAAAACATGGCAGCGCCCGAAAGTGCGGTCCAGATAGTCCCTGCTAAAAAGCCAACAGGTAAATATATTAATGGACTACGAAATGTTTGCTGCAGCGGGATATGTCCGTGTTATGACTGTTTTATAGCGATACCTGAATGTTACCTTGACGACGTAGCTAACCCGACATTAGCTAGTTGTCAACACAACACTCCGCTCCTGCTGCTAGTATACATAAAACAGTAACATCAGCGTACGAGCATTGTTTTAAGTTGCAGTTTAATTGAGATAATTTGGCCTTAATGACGGTAGGTGACAAAAAAAATAGCTTTGTTGCGATTAGCGCATGCGCGTCGCGATGACTCTCCAGCCTTCACACATGAAGAGATCCATGTGAAGATGTTGTTTGTCTGTTTGTTGATTAATATCCCCATTAGCTTCTTGGCGTTTCCATTTCTTCATTGACAACATTTCATCAGTTAGGTTACATAAACACATCTATGACGTTCATACTCGCAGTACAACAAAACACATGACGTAACCTACTCCAACAAACCAGCACAATCTGTCTAACACATACAGCAGCTCTACAGAGATATTCTTTCACTTCAGTAGTTAGGAACAAAAAAAAGAAAAGGAACTAGATCACAAGACAAAAACAGGATAGACAGCTCGAAATTGATCTGTTTTTTCAAGATAATTCAAAATATAACTCATTATTATTGTGTTCTATACTATTTCTTGTGAAAATAAATACTTCAGATACACAGATTAAATATTTTGCTCACTTGAGAGCACCAACAAGTATATTTCTAAACTGTTAAGACTCCTGCTTTATACATTAGATTTGTATCCCTAGATATAAAATCTAACTTTTTGTGAGAACATCTTGTATTCCTGAAATCAAAAAACTTTGTGATGATTTCCATGCCCATTAAGAAACAAATATCCTGGATGGATGAATTAAAAACTGACGCCGCCTTTGTTTATTGTAATAAAAAGTGATCTGCCTGTACAGAGAATAAATGGATTCACATGGCGCTAAAGATACAAAAACTTTAGTCAATTAAGTCTTTACCACGTCTTAGTTTATGTCCAATTCCTGCCACACTTCGCAGCTAGTAGCACAAAAAAAAATAGTTTTGGTGGTTGACAAACTTAACATACAATAAGGTGCTTCCAAGTCAGTGTATCTCTGCATAGATGCGAGGCATTTTACCATTTTGAAAGAAGCAGTGACTGAACCAAATTTAGCCGCTCTACATTGAGATTGTTGAACGTGCCTGATTTTATTATTATTTACTTTATTTTAATGAGTCCAACTTCAGGTGGTTGTGAGTCATTGGCCTGTATGAATGGCTCCTTCTTAAACATGTGTTAACTTACTGTGACCTTTTATTCCAGGTGAGCATGGTGTTTTGTTTGTTTCACCAGCAGATTGTACATTGTGGCCTTTGGTCGTAAAATATTGTGTTTTGCTTCAATTTGTGCACAACACATAACTACCTAATTCTCTAACTCTTCCTTCAGTCCGAGGGCCACGACGGGTAGCCAATCAAATTCCAGATGAAATCCTGCAAGACCCTGAGCTACAGGAGGCCATCAAAGCCCTGCCTGCAAATTACAACTTTGAGATCCACAAGACTGTTTGGAGATTGAGACAAGCGAATTCGAAGAGAGGTAAAAGCCCTGCATTCTTGAGACGCTTGATTCATTAAGCACATGGTTATGAATCTGTATTTACTCTTAAGACTGAGACATGCACCCTGTTAACTTCAAATTAGATACTTCAAATGATAGACGAACTCGTAGATGTAGATTTTGTAATACAACACATGCATGGCCAGAGAGTTAGTACTCCCTTACCTTGCCTGAGTGCATGCCCATTGTGTCCTGGGTTTAATGTTGGTCAAATGTTCAAATGGTTGTACATGAAATGTGTTTTTTTTTTTATTATTAACAGAGTTTTAGGAAGTATTTTTGTAATGAGTTCAGTGCAGATGTTTTTATAGTTGTAGGATGAAATAATAGCCTTATGCAGACTGCCGTTTCAAGCCGTGATATTTACGCCCCTTGACCTTTTTGGCTCCTATCTGAATGTCCCGGAGGCTTAATGGGGTACAAAGTGATCCTGCCTCTGCACTGTCTTTGGAGGTAGTAACAGAAGTGTTACAGAGTCCCAGTGTTAATCCATCTTGAGCACTAAGCAACATTTAGCAAAGTTACAGTGGCAAGATAAAAAACCTCCTTTAAAGAGGCAGACATCGTGGGCAAAACCAAACTCATGATGAACAGCCATCTGCCGAAACTGTGCTAGGCTTGAAAAATGAGATCGAGGGAGATCCATAGTGGACGTAAAATGGAAGTTCATGTGGAGGCCTCTGTAGAACAGGACATGCGGGGGCCAGGTGTGACTTGTCACAGGTTATTTTAGCACATCAGCAAAATTATATTTCCATGACATGAAGATTTCCATGTGCTGCCATGCCCTACATCATTCTGACTTAAAAAAAAGTATTTTTTTTCCAGTCCAGTGCAGTCGAGCACTAAAGTACTTTGCTTTGTATTATTCAAACCTCGTTTACAGTTACTTTGCAGGTTTAGAAGAGCTAAGCAGCACAGACTGAATGTATAAAAATGCAGGATGCACAGCTTAAGTATCTTATACAGACAGACAGCATGTGCAAGCATTCATTTAAAATGCCATCCATGAATACATCTGTGCCTTGACCCACTTTGACAACTTTATTGTACAGTCTTGCAGGTTTACTTAGGGATGTCACAAATCAAAAAAAAAAAAAAGACCCTGTTTGAAACGAGCATGTGGGTCACCCAGGACTTACCCTGCCTTTCCAGAACAGAAACATGTTAAAGATGTATTTATCGCTTTGCAGTGTGTTTACTCTTACTGGTTAGTAGGGACACCAAAGTAAAGCAGGGTGCTTTTCATGACTACTTCCATGTCCACTGAGTTTTTGGAGGTGCTTAACACTGAATTTGTGAGGGGGGGTGTAAGCCGTCTTTGATCTATGTCCCCCCAGGAATTGTGCTTATGTGTTATTGACAGCATTGGAAGACTCTCACACTGCAGCTGACAGTGTGCCCGCTCAGATTTGTCCCCAACATCCAGGAAACACAAATGATTATGTGCAGTCTTGCATAAAGAAAGAAATATTTTTTCATTTTGTTTTTGACTATTGGTTGAGGATCTCTGCCTTTTGAACAATAACCATGTGAAGCCCTGTTTCAGAGTAAAAGGAGAAAGAATTCTATTCTGTGGGCGACAATTTGAGTTGACTCTTGACAGGCCGTCACGAGTCACATCATTATCTTGTGTTATCTTAAGTTTGTTGGTGTTTTTACATGGTTGAGGGCATTTAAAATGACCCAGGTTATTGGTTCGCTTAAAAATCATAGAGCCAAAAAGAACAGTCAGATCTAGGAAACAGAAATGTGACTTGAGTTGGACTGCTGTGTGTTTGTCACCTCAGGACCTACTGCATGTGAGCAAAGTGAGAGGCCTCGGTAACATCTGTGTGTTCTGCTGTCTGTGACTAATTATTTTGTGTTGCTTTACAACTGCCTTCATCTGATTAAAATGTGACATTGTGTTGAAAGCCCCTGAACCATTATCAAGTGATTAAAGAAGACAAATATTCACTTAACCTAAAGAAAGAAAGAGATTAGATCATAAATGAAACAAACAGTGCTTCCCACTTTGTTAAAGTCTTACCGTATAAGTATAACCATAACCATAAAGTCTAAAATGTTAAAAATTGTCTTAACACATGAACGGTTAAATGACAGAAGTATACAGCTTTAAAATAAATGAAGAAAAAAGACTTCTGATCTCTAATTTCACAAAGCAAATTCATGTTTTCATTCATATATATATGTAATAAGGTAATGTAATATTTACACTCATATGATGTGTTAATCAATCCACAGTTCAGAGACTGTTATGCTCATGTGTTCATCACAGAGATACCTGGTCACTATCATTCTTTTTCTTCTTCGTGGTCGCAGGTGAAGTTTTCCTTTTCTTCTTTTTCCTAAAGCAGATTTAATAAAACTCATTGGATTGAATACAATTCAATCCATTTGGCCAACGCTATCCACACATCTCACTCTGTGTTAAAAAGCATTCTGCAGCTTCATTTTTGCTGACTCAGGATCTGAATGTACTGAAGCTTTAGTAGTTCTCCAGTTGAGTTTTCTAATTCACACTGTTGTTTCCCCAAGCTCCATTTGAAATCACTTTGAGAAGGCAACTCTTGTAACTAAATAAGGAGTGATTACAGAACCCAGGTGGGGCTGTGATTGGTTTCACTTAAGCGTCAATGATTGTGCAACTTTCCTTCAGAATCTGCCCCTGTGCATTGTTACTTGTGTGTTTTGACGTTCCCTCATTTGTGCTGCTCCCTGTGAAACAGGTCATTGGGTAGTGTTACAATGGCGGCCGCCAGCCTGAGAAAGAAAAATCATCTTTCATTTATGTAAATGTCAAAATGTGTATTCGTAAAAGTCGCTCCTGCCGAGGGTAGAAATATGCAGATGGCAAGCCAAGAGGATTGAATCATTTCTTAGATGTCCCTGTGGGGCACGTATGCTTTCCACAGCTTGCTGGCTTTGCTTTTTTGGTGCGTGCGTGCATGCGTGTGTGCGTGAGATGTCCTTTTTTATTTATTTTTTTTTTTTTATCAGAGCTCATCGTCTCTCTCTGAACTCACAGAGCATAACTCACCTTATCACCCCCTGTCTCTCTCTGTTCCTCTTTGTGTCCATCTGTTTCTTTGTCAGCCTTTGAACTGCTCTCGAGTCGCATGCACGCTGCCTTTCTTAAACTCAGGATTGAACAACTTACATTGGAAATGTATTCTAGCTGCCCAGATTCAAAGCTTTATTTTGCTTAGTTTTCCTGTTTGTTTTCTTGATGTTATATTTTACTCTTTCCATGTGGGGTTTAGTTGTATAGACAATTGACCTAGATAGGGGCTGTCTACTTTCTTGATTACTGTCACACAGTCAGTTAAGAGATAAACTCAAGTGAACACAGATTTAATCGGACAGTATGCAGACCTGAGTGAAGGGATTGGTTTAGAGAAGCTGTACTTTGATTGATGAATTATTAAAAAAGGAATTCAGACCAACAAATGAGTCAGGTGAAGGTTTTTTTGACTAGCCTAAAAAATGTTATGGATGAAAGTTTTTTATCCATAAGTTGATGAAAAAAATATAGATGAATACAATGGACAATTCCACATTTTTTGTTAGTATCACGTGAGCTATACTGGGCAACCCTGGTTTGTGTTTTATGTCATAGAAACTATTATTAAGGCATTTTCCCAATGTTTTTAAAATAATAGCCAAAAAAACAAAAACTGTCAGGTGGGCTTCTGTTCCTCTGTTATGCTGAATGAAAACACAAAATCAACATGTTTCTAAAAGAAATTTGAACTAGATGAGTTTCTCCTCCCTGTTGTTTTTGTCAAAGCTGATATTAGAAGTCCCGCCTCTTCTTTGTTTTTATTGGTTGGTGTGGTGGAGGTGACACTGATGAGCAAGAAATGGCGTTTGTGGATTTCGGCCTTTATTCATCTGGCAGGTCTCTTGGGCACCCGTGATGTTGAAAGGTAATAATTATTGGCTCTCAATGCTAACTTATAAACAATGTAACCTCCAAATAAACAGAGAAATAATTACATATGGCCAAATACAGCGCAGCCGTGTTTCTCAGTGTGTGGATGTTCGAGAAGCTTTTTCTTCATTCTTCCTATTTTAACACAGCCTTTGTCTGACAGCAGTTTTTCCAACTACTAAATCCCATTTGGAAAAATCTGAAAAATTAGACAAGACGTGGAGATAACGCCAAAGAAGCACAAAGCAGTGCGGCCTTGTGAGTCTTGGGAGACCTTGAATTTATGAAAGTGATCTCTGCGGGGACGTGAAATACTCAGGGAGTTGTTCGGTTTTCTGTGCTCTTCTCACAACTAAACCTCACACAATCAAAAGATTAGCACTGCTGACGCTTATTCTTCAGATGTTTGTTTCCTTGAGATTCAAGAGAATAAGCAACATGTGGGATGCATTTTGGGGAAAATAACAGAGAAGTTGAAAAGATAACAAGGATGTAATCAGGAAAATTCATAAATGAAATTTCCCATTAAGGAATGCCTTAATGCCAGTATTAATTAACATCCAACTAAGCCACAGATGGCCCACCACATTAACAGAACCATCCAGATTGAAAAAAAAAAACAACAACTTTGTGTTCAGTCCATGGCTGATATCTTGTTTTCCCCTAATTAATTAATCATCCCATTTTAAATAGCCTCTTTGTGCATCCTTCAGTAACAGAACCATCTTCTTTTTTTTTTTTCATCCCCAAAACGTGAAACATCTCCACAGAAAGCTGACTGAAATGGCCTTTTCTGCTCTGTCTGAAAAGAGTGTTCCTTTTATATGGGAACATGACAGAAGTGAGAGTACTGCCAGGGGGACGTTCAGGAAGATTAGGCAGAAGTATCAGCAGACTGGACGTTCTCAGATGGATGTCTGTTGGTCATTTTTTGTCCAGAGTCAAAGACTATAGGAATGGGACCGTCATACATGACTTATTCTTCATTCTTCATCCACACATGGTTTTCTAAATACAAACTGACACATGAATAAGAAAGCCAGCAGCTCAGTGGCTGTTGCTCACACTGTTTAAACCTAAAATTAATGACTGGCACACATCTACTTGACCATTGACTGTGTAACCTGACTACCTTGCTCATACTATTGGAGCTGCAGATAATATTTTTAACTCTCTCTGTCTGGATCTTACTCCTTCAGTCACTAACACCAGAGCCACACTTTAGTTTTAGCTAGGTGAAGCTAATGAACTAACAACTCAGTCATTTGTTTGTTTTGTCACTTTGTCATGTGCTTCCTTTTACATGTTTGCCATTTTGTACTTCCGTACCACAGACTACACACAAAAGATGCATTACCATCTGCACATCACTGCCATCTCAGTTGTTTGCACTGCAGGTGACTGACATCTGACCGTTCCTCACATCCAAACCCAAATGTTTGCAATGCAATCTCACACTCCAAATGTAATCTAGCACAGGATAATCCCTGTCTCTTCCAGTATTCTGCTCTCCTAGCTCTAACCCTCCTTTTGAAAAATTCAGAGTAATCCCTTGGCTTTGTCCGCTCAGTCTGCCGCTCGTCGATAAATTGGTGTTTCTCGCACTTTCTTAGTCTACCTCCCGTCTTTGATTTTCAACATAATCCCACATGTAGATTTCTTGCACTTGAACTTCCAACAGTGGGTATACCAATCTGACGGAAAAAAAAAAAAACACCCTCTGCACTTGTTTGTGAGTTTTTAGCTGAACAAACACGACACCTGAAGCTGTTGATGAACTTTCGCCGTCAGAGGTAGAAGCAGCTTATCATCCTTGCGTTGAACATGTAGTCAGTCCCTCCTCCAGCGTCTGATTCACCTTTCAGCAGCAGCAGATGGAGAAAGCGCTTTGCTTCTGTCAGCTGTGGCAGAGGTGTGCTCTGAAACCTTTCTCTGTTAATAAACTTGCCCTTTTCCAGGTAATGACCTGTCTCTCACTGTCTGCCCGGGCCCTCTGTGATCCCTTAACCTTTCATCAGTAAGAAACGCTCTCGCTCCTCCCCTCCGCACTGCCCCATCTATCACTCCATCTCATGACCACCCTCCCTCAACCTCCCTGGCCTTTTGTCCATCCAAGCTTTTATTGTTTAATTCTGCCTGCCACTGAAGTCTGGGAAATTGTTTTAAGCCTAGTCATGTGGAAACCTTGGTGTGCTGAATGCAGCCTCTAAGACTTATAAGTGTCCACTGAGGCGCTGATGGATTTATTGAAGAAAGGTGTGACGGAGTTTGACTGGGAGAAAATGTCATGGCTGATTGAAACAAAGCCTCCTTCTTGAGGTCGTGTTGCTGTCTGTGTCTGACTTGGTGGCAAGAATTCACAAAAGTTGTCGAAACCCACAAATACAAGTTTGTCATCCTCTCCTGTATACATAAAGTATGAATAAATAACTGTTTCAAAAAGATTATAACAAAAATAGAACTGCTGACAGGAGTCTTGACTTCACAAACAGTGTAGTCTATATAATCTAGAAAAATCAGTGAAGAAGTCCTGACCTTCTTAACCTCATTGCAGGTTAACATCAACATACCTGTGCTAAATGTGGTTACGTAATGCCACTTTAACCCGACAATGCCTGAATACATTAGCAGCTTAATTTTCTAGATACAATTAATGCCATACTGAGCTGCTACTGCGGGATGTCTGTTCACTGTGCTTGTTTACGTCTGGGTAGTAAAGCAGAGAGCAGGCCAAAGAAGGTCTATGGATACAGCCCTCGCTATTGGCTGTTGGCTGCATTGCAATTTGTGTAACCTTTGACAGGCATAGAGGTCAAATGTTATGCCCAATTAATAAATATTAATAATTTGTTTAACCAAGCAGTAATTCTGGTGATGACCAGCGAGGTTGATGACAGTTAAGCATTTAGTCGACTAAACACACATCCCTAATGTAAAATAGGAAAACTATTAACCTTGCATTCCTTTACTTTTATTATTATTAAAAAATAAATCCCGTTCCACATCACTGTGTCCTCTCCCTGTCACTGACTTTTTTGCCTCTTTCAATCTTCTTCACTTCATGCTCTGATTCCTGTTCGTTCATTCCTTGCGGGACTACTTGACATCATCAATATCTTAGTAGTCTCTGATTCCAAGGTGTCCTCATGCTTATTTGATGATTTGATGACTTGATGGCATGATTAATGTATACTTATTCATGGATTCTTTAGTTTCTTTAATGAAAAAACCACAAGACTTATCTTTTACAAAATCCCCAAAGGAACGTTCGGATTCTTTGAAATCCAAGAAAACATGATATTTTCCCCAAAGAAAAGTTTGACTGGGAAGAGGAAGCTTAAACACTTTGATTCCTGTTGAAGGTTGTGAAAGTATTTGGACATCTAAATCTCATACAGTTATATTTATGTATGGAAATGGTCAAATCAGAGCAGATTATGTCTTGTTAAATTACCATCTAAGGAAATGTAATAAAAAACAGATTAGATGATGAAAAAAAGGGTAGTGCACTACTGCAGGAGAAGTTTCTTTTCTTTAAATAACCAATCTCCTCATCACTTCAGCCGTCTGTCTTCTTTGCTGACTAAAGCCAATAATACGGATTCCTTAGCATGGGCCACCAAAAATACGTAAGGTTTGAATAAACACTGAACCGTTAGCAAGCCAGGAATGGTTAGCGCAGAAACTGATAAATGCTAAGTTATTAATTACATATAACTAGCTTTTCAAGCACGGAAAGAGTGGAAAAACAGACTTCTTGGATTGTCAGTTAAAATAAATTGCACAAGTTAATCTATGTAATGATAAGTGTATTGAACATAATTTGTCATGGTAATGGCAAAAAAATGTAGTATTGCCCATTGTGCACATAAAAGTAACAGGAATATTGCATTGGTATAAAAGAGCATAATGGATCAGTAGCATTGCTGTGGCTCCTGATGTTGAACCTAAAATTGTATGTAATGATGATGAACATAGTATAGTGCGTTACTGAAAAGTAATATTGCAAATGATAGGCAAAGCAATATTGCGGTTCAAAGATGACGCCAGCCTCGCCCTCGATGTCATCTTTTGTTATCTTAGTATTGATTGAGAGCCCCCTGGCGGCGGGATCTATATATTGTATCTTTAAAGGGAAAATAACTATCGAGAACAATTTTTTTGTACCATGCTCATTCATTATGCTGTAAAGTTGGAGCTTGATAGGGATTTACTCACCTCTGGAGCCAGCCTCTATTGGCCATTAAAGGAACTGCAGTTTATGGCTCCTTCAAATCAATTTAGTTTCTCAGCTCCCAATGTTGGCCTTTATATCAGACTTTTTCAGGATGCCTACCAGTCACAAACCACTAATTCTGTCCATTCCATTGATTTATCCTGGCTGGTGCCACACATCACTAGATTTGTCGCTAACAGACAAATCCATCACCAATAATTGCTCAGATAAGCTGCTTGATTTCTATTTTATGTTAGCTCCAACAGTTTTTCTGGATCAAAGTGTGGCTTTGAAACGTAAACTTGTGTGGAGTGGGAAGGTTGGGGGTGTTTTTGTGTTTTTCACTAGAAAAGAGAGTAAAAGTGTGACTCACAGAGCTGTGTGGCGGGTACGGGGACAGACAGGAAAAAGAGAGTGTAATGGCTCTGTACAAGCCCTGAGCTGTAGAGCCAGACCTGTGGTGATTGGTTTGGACTTTATTTCCAACAACCCGTCACTCGCTAAAATAAACCAACAGAGCCGCCGTGGCAGAGGGGAAATTGCCCTGAAATGTCACCATTTGCTGTCAGTGGAGCTCTCTGAACCAGTAGCTGAGTCTATGAATAGCTTTGCTGTCCAGGATTTATTAAATGTGCCATCACTCCTTCGCAAGACTGTTAACTTTTTCTTCTTTTGTTTGCTTTTTTTTTTTTCTCCCTTCAGTGGCTCTGCAGCTGCCAGAGGGCCTTCAGATGTTTGCCTGTGTCATCGCTGACATCATTGAGAGGTACGGTTGAGAAAGAAAAATGTATATTTCTTTAATTAAACAACTTCTTTTACAGTCCGAGAGCCAGGCAGCAGGTGTACTAGGAACGCCAGCCATGTGTGAACTTGAACTACGGCAGCTGCTCTGTACTCATTAGGAGAGCAAGAACTTTATCGTAATTCCCCGCCTTGCACTCGATCAGGGATTCAGCACAAAATGAGACACGATTAGGTTTTAGGACAGAGAAGATATCACAGCTCCACTTGCTCACGGTAGGAGGAGGGATGAGATATTATTCTTGTTAATTACATCTTGTTTCAGCTCACATACGCACCATCGCACACCAGCACTCTATCACACAGACACCAAGAAGTTTTTTTTTTTTTTTTTTTTAAAACCATCCTTCAGTGAGAAGTGCTACAGCCTGAATGTGCCAAGTAGTTTATCTTTTCTACTACACTGTGGTTTGGCCTATACTGTGCTAAATACAAGATATACTTCAGTGCTTTGTAAATAGAAACAGCCATTCTGAAACCTCTTACATGAAGCAAACTTTAAAGCCTAGTTTTTCTCCCTTGTTTTTGTCTCTGTGGTCTTATTTCACCCCTCTTTCTCTGGAGTACTGTCTGCTGAGTGTTTTCTGTGGGAAAAAGGCTGCCATCATTAAACACCACTTTTCATAGGTGTTGAGTCAATACTAACCAGATGACAAGATGGCGAGGGAAGAACAGAGTGACTGCAGTTGCCATAAAATTTGGGATATTTGATTTCACACAGGAAACTAGTATCACTCCTGTTGGACTATATTATTAACTTTCCTTTTCTTTACACCACCATGTTTATTTACCTTAAAAAAGATGAAACGTCGCTGCTCAAAGAAGACGTGGACAGGATTTTGTGTTTCTCCCTTCTGTCATCTCTTTTATCTGTCTTTATACTTTATCATTTTGTTCATCTTTTCTCCAGCTGTATCAAACCTCTTTTGCTCCATCTTTCTATCACTTCCTTTTACCGTCATTTCTGATTTTTTTTTTTATCACAAAAAAGATGATAGAGTGAGGTTTTGATGATAAGGTCTGGTCTTATCGGTCCAGCTGCAATCACACTGAGAGCTACAGCTGTTTGCTGCACAGCTTTTAAACCACATACCCATGCAGTCCACATTTATACGATGTCAGTGTCCATCATGGAGTCTGTTAAATCGGCTCAATCTCTTCTAATGAGAGCAATTAGCGGGCACTAATTGCTTTTCTCGCTCACTTCATACCTCGTCCTCTATCACTTATCTCTCTATATTTTTCACCCTCTCCCCACCATCCACACCATTTCTCCCCCACCCCCCGGCACAAGGATGTTTCTCACGGTTTTCCCTTCAGTTAGACCTGTAAAATAGTTTTCCTTAAGCTATCCTGTGTCTCTCCCTGTGCTGGTTTACCATGTAAGATTTTTATGCAATTCTGGGTCTTTCCAGATTTAACAGATGGGTTCTTTGAATCCTGGATGAACATCACAGCCTCTGAGAAATACTGAATATCTTCCATCTGGTGCACAGACTGACAGGTTGGGTTTAAAGAATGTGGATGACATCAGTCGAGTTTTAAGGATCATAGTCTTGCCAGAAAATTAGAAAGTTTTTGACAAAAGCAACAATGAACCAACATGTTGGTCATCGAGGATCGTGCAACCTCCGTTTCATCCTGCAGACATAAATCCATTTTATTATAACTTAGGTAATGTTTTGGTAGATCTGCCTTTCTTCACTTTGTTATGACAATTTTCTGACAAATATCAAAATCATGGCTTCTAAGGGTGAGAAGTGCAGGGTAACAAAGACATATGCGATTTAATAACCAATTCTGATATTGCTATTTTATTTTTATTACCTCGTTAGGTGAGTTTTTGAGATAAGCCCTGCGTGGGTCTGACTTTTCTCTCAACAATGTGCAAACATAAAATTAACTAAACTATGCAAGGCCCACCATAACGGTAATATCATGATACAATAATTCTAGGATAATATATTGCAAGTCAATTTGTAAAATAATACCTCACAATATATGACTCACTAAAGAAAACAAAATTCCTCCTTAAAAGGTAAAGATTCATGTTTTTATTCACTTCAGTTTTCTGTCAGTTTCATATCTTATCACATCTCAAGTTCCTTTTACCGTCATTACCCCACAGATATCTTTTTCTTCTTCTTCTATCTCGCTGTCAACTTCTTTTTTAAGTTATCCGCGTTCATGTCATAAAAACCAACGTCATGGAATCATGAAAAAGTGATAATGTTTGTCAAATTGCTAAGGAAGCCTGTTTAGAGAGCTGTGTTTTTAAATTAAAATATCGATACTTGGCAACAGTGATTAAATAATTCTATCACACAGTTCAGGACATTGATATTTTCACATGTGGTTCTCTTTAGTATGTCTCTTTAGTTTTCACTCTAATAAACACAAAACATAAACTGTAGCACCTAGTTGTCATTAAGGAGAGCAGAGCTGCTACACCATCAAGGTGAGCAGAAAAATACAGAAGGGTGCACAGAAGAAAGTATCTGCTTTATTCTACCTGCTACCAACATAATAAAATATGCTTGGAGGGGTCCAATAGTAAACTTATTATCAGCTCAAGGGATCACTCATTATTTCTTCATAATTGTATTCCCTCTGAAATACAGTTTGATTAAAACATATATTATTGTTTCCTAAATGGGAAATTGTCAGGTATAATGGGTTTTCATTGATATATGGTGGCCAAACCTATAAAAATAACATTATTGTTGTGATAAACAAATACACTTGAATTCCCGTTTAATTACACTTAATCTACCTGTTGATCACATAGACCACTTGTATGAAGAATGTACAATTGAATACTTACCTTAAATGAAATCAAAAGATTAAGAGAGCCCTCATTTTAGACGGGCTGCAGAACATGGTCATAAACCCCGCCTCCTCCATGTACTGATCAAACTACAAAACCAAAATGTACTTCAGATAAAAAATTTCAAACCTGATTTCTGTCACAATAGTAATTATCTCGCCATTTTGTATTCAAGTCGTCAATTGTTTGAGAAGTTTCTTGTTAATTAGTTACTTGATCCTATAAAACAGTATAAATGCCCTGATTGACAGCGCTGTTAAAAAATGTAGCTCCTTTGATGCTGTGTGCATCGTATTAGAAGAGAACAGCAGAAATGGCAAGAGAAAGCGTTACTAAAACAAACATGAGACATGCAGAAGAGTCTGGTTTGCTGTGGACTTTTACCTACGTGAGGGTTTTTTTAAAATCCATTTATCGTTAGTTCAAATGTGTATTGCGTTAGAGGAAGTGGTGTGTTATCAATATGCTGCACAGACCTCTGATGCAAACTTGCGATAGGTTGGTGACCATCATGGCAATACTATTGCTTGGTGGAGGAGGCTGAGGCTTGCTGTTCATACAGTCTATGGTGGACCACTAAAAACATTGAGCCACAATGGTTGACTAACTAAAACTTGGTTGTCATAATCTCTATTTATACCTCAGAAAGCACTGCAGAGGATCTTTGTTAATCTTCACCCTTAGATGTAGAGTCAGTAGTGAACAGTAAGGCCAAAGGACCAAGAAGTCCTGTTTCCTATAACTTAATACATGTAGGTATCTTGACTTGGCTGGCTGGAAATCTTATTAGCCATACTTTGCTTATGTAATGGCCACGAGCAATGGCAGCTTAAGTTGCCAACTAAATCACATCTTGGGGCTTAGTGGATCAAAAAGTGAACTGAAGGTTGAAACCTTCTGGTGGCTCCTTACAGTATGATATTTGATCCTGATGTGGGGACCAAATTGAAATATTTTTGAAGGAATTCAAGGTCTTGGTCCAGCCTGTTTCCCCACTATAATATGACCTGTTAGATGGTGCCCTGGGAGTCATAGTTTTGATAACAATCTCAACATTAAGGGCTCAGACTTTGGCCCATCCCTTCGATGGTTTAACCCGCAGGTGAAAGCTGACAGCTTCTGGGTGTTAAATCTGCCCCAGGAAAAAACAGCTTGTTGGGAATAAGCCAGGATGTCATGCTGAGAAACCTGTGAAAAGGTCTATGTAACAAAAATATGGGAAATGGAATAGTCTCACGCAAACCTAAACCTAAAAATGATCACTAAGATAGAGAAATATGTAAAACTGACCTTGCAGTGCTGATAACAAATTACTTTATAAAAGTGGAATTGGTGTAGGATTGGCAATTGCTGTTTGTGAATGACGACAACCTTTGGATGTTTGAAGAGCTGTCGACTGACCTTGTTTCACCCGGTTGAGGGTTACGAGAAAGTCCCTTGTATCGGCACAACAGGGCTGAGGTCCATATCAAAATGGGGATGAAAGAACTAAGCTGGCCTCAGAGTAAGGAGCTTCAGCGGGAGGGACTGCTAAATCTAAATGAGGACAATCTGCTCTGAATTATGGCTACTCTGCAGTTAATACATTCAGGCCAAAACACACACGTTACACACTCATTTACATCATAGAGTTCCGTGCTTAAAGGGATAGGAACCACATGATTGTGAACACATATTTACCAAAGGAACAGCACAGCACAACACATGATAGTCTACAAAGTGACCTTAAAGTAGATTCACCCCCTTTCTTATTTTGACAAAATGAAACAGTCAAAAGATTTTAAGAAATTAAAGGACCGTAAGACCTGATTGTAAAGAGTCATTTGGTAATTAGTCTTGACCTGGGAACTGTTGACAAATCCAGATGAGGTGCACTCAGTGGATTGGAAGATCCTCATTGTCCCCAAGGGGAAATATGATTTGGCAACAGTTGTCCACACAACAATACTCATCAGAAAAAGACATAAATACCGTAATGCCCAATTATAATATACATTTAAAGGTCCCATATTATGCTTTTTCTGGTTTTATATGCTCTTCAGTGTGTTTTCCAAGTGTCCTGTGCATGTTTAGGCACATCTATTTACAAAAATACAAAGTCTGCGGAACAGGGCTTCTCCTACCTCCTCCTACCTCCT